CTTTTTGCACCAAAAACATCTCAAGAATTCTTTCTTGGCTACTGAGTCACAGAACCCACTTGAAACCAGATCAGTAAGACCTCAGGAGACTCTAGCTGTAGCTACTAAGAATGTCCTGACCTCCTCACGGTAGGCACTCTTACTTCATGGAGGCTGGGTTCTGGACTCTGCTTCAATAAGTGATTCGGAGGGTTTTTTGTTTGTTTGTTTGGACCCACATGCTTCATTCAGAAAGCAGTTCACCTCTTCCCCGAAGTTTCTCACCTGCCAGGTGTGTGCTGGGCTGGCCCGGATAGAGGCCCGCTCTGTGCCAGGAACCAGGCAGGCTCTGGGGGAACATGCTGGAAGTGTCGTCTCTGCAGACACTGTGGCATCCCAAGGGTCTGCTTAGAAGGCCGTGGAGCAGAGGGAGGTGCCCTTCGGGGTGTCAGCTGGTTAAGGGCAGAAGTGAAAGGCTAGGCAAGAAGGGAAAGAAGAGGGCTTTCCAGAGAGAGCCAACAGCATGGGACAGCACTGTGATATTGTGATTTAATAAGGAATATATATCTGGTCTTAGTTCGAGTCCTGGCATAAAGATCCTAAAGTCCTTGGAATTTCCTAAGTGTTGAGAGTGGTAAAGGCATTCTTGTGTCCATGTGGTGACTTTTGGAAAAGCCCCTAGGTAACCTAGAGATGGGCAGTCATGTGCCTGTAATGAAGTCCCCATAAAAACCCAGAGGACGGGGTCTGAAGGGCTTCTGAGTTGGTGAGCCCGCAGAGGTTTGGGGAGAGTGGTACCCTTCCCCCACACCTTGCCCCATGCATCTCTTCCATCTGGCTGTTCCTGAGTTATATATAGCCTTTTATCTCAACCAGTAATCAAGGAAATAAAATGTTTCTCTGAGTTTTGTGAACCACTCTAGCAAATTCATCAAACCCAAGGATGGGGTCTTTGGAACCTCTGATCGTGGCCGGTTGGTCAGAAGCACAGGTTGACTTGAGATCTGAGGGGGATGGGGGGGGCAGTCTTGTGGGACGGAGCCCTTCACCGGTGGGACCCGATACTGTCTTCAGGGAGATAGTGTCAACATTGAATTGAATTGTCAGGGTCCCAGCTGGTGTCAGAGACTTGCTTGTTGGCGTTGAGAAGACACACGCACATCGCAATCATGGACCAGCTGTTTGCTGGGTGAGGAGGGGGGCGGGAGACGGAGACATGCTGGAGGTTTCGCCTGTTCCCTGCAGCCCCTGCGGTTCAGTCTGGAGTCTCCTGGCCTTCTGTGCTTTGGGGGGTATGCAGGACCTCCCTGAGCAGGACGAGGGGTCGCGCAGGAAGGTCAGGGAAGAGGTGACGAAGGATGACCGAGGGGAGACAGGATGGACAGGTGCCTCATGGCACTCATGAGGAGTGTAGGGTCTTGGGAAGGTTCCTCAGTGTGGGCAAGAGAGAGGCTTCTTCCATTCTATCACAGATAAGCATGGAGCACCTAGTTTAGAGACTTGGAGGCAAATGCAAAGGAGAGAGTAGCTAAAAAACAAACAAACAAACAAACAAACAAAAGCACCCCAACACAGTCATCACCTCAAAGAGGCAGGACAAGGCACTGCTCTTTCAGGACTATTTAAGTGTATGCATGTTGCATCTTAATAGCAGAGTTAATATAAAAAAGATGCAAGCCATTTCTAGGGCCTAGTCAATGTATTTTCCATTAGTTAATTTTATGAGGACTGATTTTTAGAACGATTTAGGTTCACAGCACAAGTGAGGAGAAAGTACCGAGGTCTCCCGTATACCCCGACTTTCACACACATGGCCTTCCCCGTTACCAACACTCCCCACCGGAGTGCTCTCTTTGTGACCTTGGGTGAACCTACTTTGGCACATCATCACCAAGACTCTGTAGGAGCACATTAGGGTCCCTTCTTGGTGTTGGACATTGTGTGAGTTTGGACAAATGTGTATTTTTAAAATAAAGATTTTGTTTATTTATTTGAGGGAGAGCATGAGAGAGAGAGAGAGAGCACATGTGGGGCAGGGGAGGGGCAGAGGGAGAGGGAGAAGCAGGCTCCTCGTTGAGCAGGGAGCCCGACGTGGGGCTCAACCCCAGGACCCTGGGATCATGACCTGAGCCCAAGGCAGACGCTTAACCAACTGAGCCACCCAGGTGCCCCTGGACAAAAGTGTATTAACAAGTATCCATCATTATAGTATCAAACGGAGTGGTTTCACTGCCCTAAAAATCTCCTGTGTTCTGCCTATTCATCCCTCCCTCTCCCCTAGCCCCTGATATTTTTACTGTCTCCATGGTTCTGCCTTTTCCAGAATGTCCAATAGTCGGAATCATACAGTATATAGAGCCTTTTCAGATTGGCTTTTCACTGAAATGCGTATCATCCGTGTCCTCATGGCTTGACAGCTCATTTCTAGTTCCGAGTAATATTCCATTGTCTGGATGGACCACACTTTATCAGTTCACCTACTGAAGGATATTTTGGTCGCTTCCAAGTTCTGGCAATTACGAATAAAGCCGCTATCAATATCCATGGGAAGGTTCTCGTGAGGACGTAAGTGTTCAGCTTTAGGTAAATATCGAGTGTAGTTGCAGGATCGTATGGCTGGAGTATGTTCAGTTTTGTAAAACACTGCCCAACTGTCTTCCAAACTGGCCTTACCACGATGCATTCCACCAGCAACAAGTGAGAGTTCCTGCAGCTACACATCCTCCCGACATCTTGTGTTGTCAGGATTTGGGTAGGTGTGCGGTGGTATCTCCCTGTTTTAATTTCTATCACCCTGATGATACGTGGCGCGGAGGGTCTTTTCACATGTGCATCTGCCACGTGTCCATCTCCTTTGGTGAGGTGTCTGTCAAAGTCTTTGGCCCATTTCTTGCTTGCTTATTGTTGAGTGTCAAGAGTTCCTTGCATATTTTGGATAACGGTTCTTTTATCAGATGTGTCTTCTTTTTCCAGTTTTATTGAGAAGTAAATATATCCCGGTATGTTGAAGGTGCACAGCATGCTGGTTTGGTTTAGTGCACCATGAAATGATCACAAGAGGTGTAGTGAACACCCGTCATCTCATGTAGATACCCTGCCATGTCTTTTGCAAATATTTTCTGCCAGACTGTGGCTTGTCTTCTCACTCTCTTCATAGTTAATGTATCTTTAACTTCACACAACCCAGAAAGGAGAACAAAGAAACAAGTGGCGCTTTGGGGCGGAAAGTTCCCGAAGGTGCAGCAGTTAAAGAAAGCTCAAGTCCCCGAATGGGGGACCACCTGGGCTGTGTGGGGCAGCCAGCTTCAGTGGCCCTTTTTGGATGGTTGCTCCTTTCAGAGAAGAGCCCTAGTGTCCCGGCAGTCCCAGCCACAGGGCAGTCTGTAGCAGCTGTCGCTGTGGGTCACGGCGTGGCCTGATAAAATGGTGCAGGAAAGGGGACAGGGCCAGGGACTCGCTGCTGGAGTTTCTGGCTAATGGGAGTTTAGCTCCAAGCTGCGGGTCCTTGGAACCTGGACCTGAGGATCTTCCTGTGGGACAGGCCCCAGGAATCTGCATTCTCAAGTCCCCATTCCACCGCCCCTCATACACCTGAGACCCTATCAGGTGAACTCAGGAGAAGCTGGCTGTCAACAGGGTGCCCCGTCCTTGACTGTATCTGCCCACAGAGAAGGGCCCAGATGTCATTTCCAGGTCCCAACCGTGTAGAAGGCTCTGGAGTCGCCCCACAGCACAGGCCAGTCTGTGCCCACCCCCACCCCCCACCCCGTCACGGGCAATCAGTTTACCGAACACGCAAAAGAAAAATAATTAGTTTATTTAATTTAAAATAGCAAAACTTTGGCTTCGACCCAAGATGGTCAGGGTTTCGATACAGACCTCACACTGTTATTATGCCAGAGCAGGAATTTGTAAAAACGTTTCTTGTCGTGTACGTAAGAGCAGCTCTGTGTGCACCCTTAACCGCCGGCCAAATAATACTCTTTATTAAAAGACAAAACAAACAAACATAAAGAACTCAGAAGCACAGAGAGGCAGAAAGCGCCTGGTAAGCCTGACTCAAAGACCAATGTTCAGAAAGTGCCTGAGAGGAGAGGGCTCTGGGCTGAGGACACCCGGACGAGGCTGTAGCACCTGTCCTGAGCTGAGTCACACCTGTCCTGAGCCCCTACTCCCTCTGCCGGCCCTTCCTGACCGTGGCCTGCTGGGGGACGCCCAGGTCTGGCCAGTCCTGCAGGAGCCACCCCGGGCAGGCAGCCAGCACTGCAGTCTAAGCCAAGGACTCTGGGGCCCCCTTCCGAGTAGGCTTTATTCTCACCTCATCCTCTGTGGCCCACAGGCTAACTCAGCTCTGATCCATTTTCTTTCTTGCAGCAAGCAACTTCCTGAATGTCTGCTCCATTCTAGAAGCTAAGGTGAGGGTCTTTACCAGCTACGTGCCCATCATCTGCCGTATTGTCTCCAGGGGATCCCTGGATGCCCCTTATATTGGCCATTTCTGTAAGGAGATTGCCCTACTGACAAGTAGCTTTCTGTAGGGGCAGCCCAGGGTTTACGGTGAGTCCTTAGGGGATGATCGCCTCTTGCTGATTTTCATAAAGAAAACTTAAAAAAAAAAAAAAAAAAGGAAACTGAAAATGAGCATTTTGGATCGAGTTCTGTCAATGGCTCTTTCTTTCAGATTCTCTTCCTGTGAAGATTCTGCTTTTGCGAATAAAATGGAAATCAACAGTATGGTGAGGCTTTGGTTTTAATCCAGAACCGTCTTACAGGTTCAGAGGATCATTTCGGTTTTGCAGCGTTCTGACCGAACCCAAGGGAGGGACGCTGATAGGCTGAAGTTGAACTCTTCCTCCCCAAGCCTCCTGCGGTGACGCTGACACTTGCCACCTTAGCCAGTGGCTTATGTGACTTAACAGAGAAACAGTTTTCTGAAATAACAGGAAAATGTTGGTGGAAGAGCCACGGCTATAGAGATACGGATGCTCAATTTCGATCCTTTTCTTTTAAATGTAAATAATCACCCCATGATGCATGTGTCACTTCCCCGAACCAAGTCCCCAAAGCTTCACCTTCAGGGAGGAATCTGTTATTTGGATCATTCGCCAACTCTCTGGTCACCTTTTCTATAAAAAAACTAAGCCGGGAGGTGATTCAGCCGGATCCCTACCAGCTCTCCCCAGTCCAGTCTTCCAGAGAACAGACCCGAGAGGCAGCGGACATCTGCTGGGATTCCCTGCAATGCCTCTTCTTGTCCCTGTTTCAGCTCTCGCACGGGAAGAGGGAACCTGTATCTTAAAGTGACTGGTGGAGGCAGGCAGGAGTCTGGGTTCTGGCCTGGGCTTGAAATTCAAGCACAATCTGCATCAAGGGTTGGCAACCCATAGAGAGAATCTGGGAGGTCCCGAGGAGACCAGCTGCCCAGAAACCTCACGGGAACCTTCCAGCTGGTTAAAGGGAACCGGCTCTTTTGCTGACCAGCAAAGCTATCCAAGAAAAGCTGGGTTCTCCTGGAAATCTCAATGCCCTGACAAACCAAAAATCGGCTTTATGATATCTAAGCGGGGGACGCATCCCTGGTAACCCCTGGCATTTTATTTAGGACAGGTGCTCGGTCTACATATATACCTCTTTGTGCTTTTCCCCCAGGTGTGGGTCCCTTGAACTGTAAACAGTGCTGTGTGGTCACAAGGCCCACGAGCAGCGGACCACAGGGCAACCTGACAGCGATCACGTACCGATCCCCCTGCCGACCCCACGCAGGCAAGTGCCCCCGCGTGCAGCAGGACACGGGTGGGAGGGGGATGTGCCACCTGAGGGTCTAGGAGGTAGAAGCAGCTGGGTTTGTGGTGGTTCCCCCACAGGGGGGTCAAGAGCTTCAAAAGCAGAAGGCCTCAAGTACCTGCAGACGCCCACCCCCCACTTCCTGCAGCAGGGACTCCCAGAAGCACCTGTCCCCAGGTGGGCAGCACCTGTGCACAGAACTAGGAAGGGAAAAGCTCAGGCACTTGGAAGTTCATCTGGGGTGCGTCTGGACCCCTGCAGTTCTCCCGTCTTGGGACGGTGCAGCAGGAGCCTTGGGAGGGCCAGCCGGGCTCTCAGCACAAGGCTGGGAAGAGCAGCAGACAGAGAAGAGCCGAGTTCGGACGGCCTGGGTGCAGAGGACGAACATGATGCAATTGGCACCGCCCTGAAACGTGTTCCCAATACCCTGTCCGGGAGAAAAGGAGAGGCATGAGTGCCAGGGCTGGAGGGGGTCGGGTGCTCTCTCTTCTCTCTCTCTCTCTCTCTCTCTCTCTCACACACACACACACACGGAGACTGGGAAGCGCTGCGGACCCCAGAACCCTGTCCTCCCCCCACTGAGGCTGGTCAGCAACCCCCCATGTGGAGGCCTTCTGGATTGGGAAGGACAGGATCACTCCCAAGGCCACTGGAGAGTCCCCTAATGTCCCTGGGCTGCACCCACTCTTCCGGGGGGGCGGGGGAAGGCATCTGACCCTGCACCAGAGCGGCAGGGGCCGGGGAGGGCAGGCCCACATACGTGCAGAACGACCAGCACTGGCAACTGCACGGCCGGGGAGCCACAGAGGGTCAGGACGAATCGCACGGTGCTCCAGACCCGGAGGCAGATGAAGATGAGCGGGATGAGGATCAGCTTCTTGTCGGCCACGGAGGCGTGGTGCTGTGGCCGGTGGGCCTCGGAGAGGATGGGCCGGTACTCCGACAGGGCCTCGCGCTGTGCAGGGCACGGGGAACAGGTGTGAGCGAGGCGGGCTGCTGTGCCACCCTCAGTCCGCTGTGTGCTGCGCATCTCCCCGCGGGGGCCTAAGACACGGCTGACAGCTCTCGTGTCAGGAGCACAGCGCCGCATCCCGACTCCCGAGCCTAGCGCGCATGTCCCCACCTCGGCTAACGCGCCGGCATCCTACCAGGTGCCCGGGCCAGAAACCCTCTCCTGTTGCTGCTGCCCACGTCCCCTCCGTGAGCAAGTCCTGCGGGCTCCCCCTTCAAAAGAGATCCAGAAATCTGGATGCTCCGCCCACCGCCATGGCCACCAGCCCAGTCCAAGCGCCAGCACCGCTCCTCTGGGCAGCTGCAACTCTCTCTCACCCATCTCCCTCCGGCACCCTCACCATCCAAACTCCTCCCAACTGCAGTTCTATTCTTGGCCCGGAAGCAGCACGGTTCCTTGAAAACCTGTCAGGTTCAGTTCTACTTGAAGGTCTCGGATTCCAGTCTAGCTCTGACCTCATGCTTACTGCTTTCGCCTGATTTACTCCAGCCACACAGGCCTCCGTAAGTCCCCAAACATATTCCCCAAGCACACCCTACCACAGGGCCTTTGCACAAGCCGTTCCCTCTGGAGTGTTGGTTCCCATCTGCCCAGAGGCTCACTCCCTAACCCTCTTCACACCTTTGCTCAATCTCGCCCCCTGGAGGAGGAGGCCTATCCTGACAACCCCTTTTCAAGTGCATAGGCATTTCCCAGGTAGTCCTGTCCCCAGATTCAGCTCTTTATTTTTGCCTGTTTTTTTTGTAGCTCTTACCTTCCTCCTTCCTAGATGTCATTCATCCTTATTTATCAGGCCTGTTACTTATTATCATCCTGCTCTCCCCCTCCAGAATGCAAGCTCCCCCAGGACAAAGACCTATGAAGGAGGAGCTCCATCCAAAGCTGGGGCACAAAGAAAAGATGAGCAGGCACAGGCTTTGGGCTTCCCTACTCCTGGGAACACCCTTCAGTGAGAGGAAGGGGATAGCTCCATTTCCAGATCACAACTGAATTTGTAAAAATAGATGCAGGGGCGCCTGGGTGGCTCAGTTGGTTAGGCGCCTGCCTTTGGCTCAGGTCATGATCCCACGGTCCTGGGATCGAGCCCTGCATCGTGCCCTGCATCGTGCTCCCTGCTCACTGGGGAGCCTGCTTCTCTTTCTCCTCCCCGCTCTTGCTATCTCTGTCTCTCTCAGATAAATAAAATCTTAAAAAATAGATGTAACTACTCATAACAAAGATGTGTTTCTGAGCGTGGTCCTGTGTCCAGGACACTGAAAGCCCAGGTGAGGGGAAAAGCCACAAACCCTGGCATCTCTGAGCACGCAGGCTGCTGCAGCTCACCTACTCAGAGCAGCTGCTTCCTCCCTTCCTCCCCTGGGGCCTAGAGCAGCCTGGCAGGGGTGGGGTGGGGGCAGGGGAGGAGCAGGGCAGCTGTCTTCTTTGCAAAGTTCGCTCCAGTTCACTTATTTTTCTTTTTTTAAGATTTTATTTTTGGGGCGCCTGGGTGCTTCAGTCGGCTAAGCGTCTGCCTTTGGCTCAGGTCACGGTCCCAGGGTCCCGAGATCGAGCCCCGCATTGGGCTCCCTGCTCAGCGGGAAGCCTGCTTCTCCCTCTCCCACTCCCCCTGCTTGTGTTCCCTCTCTCGCTGTGTCTCTCTCTGTCAAAATAAATAAAT